CAATTCGATCTTTCTTCTCTATTTACGAGTTGCATGTGTAGAAAGATGCAAATTCAACGTTCAACTTGAAATCTATCTTACGTAGGTCGTAACATACAGGGTGTGAATGTAGGAAATAAGGGGAAATCGTGATTTTAAGTGAAAGGAGGAAGCTTGACGTAAATCAGGCCGAAATCGTGATTTTTCGTGACGTAGACGATTTAAAATGTAAGAAATAAGGGGAAATCGTGATTTTGGAATGAAAAGAGGAAGCTTGACTTGAAGGATTCAGGTCGAAATCGTGATTTGCTGGACGTAGACAATTTAGAACGTAAGAAATAAGAGGAAATCGTGATTTTGGAATGAAAAAAGGAAGCTTGACTTGAAGGATTCAGGTAGAAATCGTGATTTTGAACAATCGAGAATGTAAGAAATAAATAAAAATCGTGATTTTTGAATAAAAAGTGGAAGAAGGCTTGACGTAAAGGATTGAGAATAATACGAAGTCGTAGATGGACGTTGTCAAGCGTGTCCTGGGCAAAATTTGAACGAGGACTGGTTGGTGATTCAGTGAATGAAAACAAGTAGAGAAAGAAAGGCTGACCACTGACGTAAAGGACCACGAGGGAAGACCAGAGAGGAGACAGTTAAATATTCTGGTATTTACCCATTCTCTTGAATGGTCTTCACAACCGTTTCTTCTCCCATCTCGACTCGGAATTCACAATTGAAGTGTGTAACTTAAATTAAATGAAAGTAGACAAATGAGAAGAATATTCTATGGAGAGATCTCTTTTCTAATTCTTCCTTGTTGCATCTTACAAAGAGTGTCGCAATGCTTTCAATCTTTATCTCCTGAAATACGATCCTAAAAAAATTTGAATACCAGAAAGATGACTAATTCGCATCGAGACGATAATTGAATATCAATTGAAAAATAAACAGAGACTGAAATAATCAAAAATTCTCGATTTTTAATATCAATCCTGGAATATGGCCCTTGAATCAACTTCGAATCCAAAAAAAAAAATAAATAGTCGAACGTTTACTTTGTAACTAAAGTTTACTTTGCGTACTCTTTCGTGCGATAATCGCTTGAAACGAGCGTTCATCTGGACGTTCGAGAGTGAACGAGACGGAATCAGCATGAACAGAGAGGAAAATACCTTGGCGAATGTACACGGATCGAGGAAAGACACTGGGCAACCTCGATAATTGCCAGCCTCCTTGCGTCAAGGATAACGTAAATTGCACCGTTACCGGCTGCCCTTACCCAGCCACGGAACGATGCTGGAAGATTGAAACGACGGAGAAGGAAATCGTGGTAAACGAATCTCGAACTTTAGACCATAGTTTCTCCACTTTTTTTCGCGGATTAATTGCCGCGACATTTCGGAGATATTCCTGCTTTCTCTTTTTAAACGTTTCCTGCAAACTTCTTACGATATTGATTGCCATTGTTCCTGCGAAGATTGCAAACTTTGAAGAATTAAGAGATTTTCTTACATAAACAGTACACATTTGTTTCCAAATCTCTTTTAATGTTCAAATTTATTCCTTTATACCGCATAATTTGGTTTGTTCAATTATTTTTTTCGGAATAGTAATTTTGAAAATTTCTCTCTTATGGTAATTTATCTTCTATTGGTTTACAATATTTTTTTTCAAAATTTCACTTATTTTTCAAATTTATTCCATTATATCATGTAATTGAATTTCATTATTTTCTCCGGAATAATAATTTTGAAAATTTTTGATAATGATCTCTGATGATAATTTATCTTCTATAAGTTTATTCATAAGGGAGGCATATTTGAAGAATTAATTGTGAATTTTATAAATTTATTCCATTATAATATCGCGTAATTTAATTTCTTTTATTTACTTTTATAGAAACGTAATTTTGAAAATTTCCCTCTTACGATAATTCGTCCTCTCTGCGTTTGTTTGACAAGAGAGGCATGTTTGAAGAATTAATGGCGAATTTTGTACACGCGAGTAAATTTATACGTTGCCCTAACGAGTGGAAATTTACAAGCGTCCTACGTCAGTAGTTAAGGGTCAAGATCTATGCAGGTGAAAGTAACCAGTGATCCAGCTGTATCTGACGGAAACTGGTTAACTTCGATTGAAATCAGCCGGCAGGAAAATCTCGAAAAAGTTTGGAGAATCATTTTGAAGCAACTTCAAATTCAATTTAATTCTACTAATTTCGACGTAAAATGGGACGAGATAGATATACGAATAGAAAATTTTTATTTTGTAAGGCAAACTCCATTTTGTAACCGACAGACAAAAGTTAACAATAAAAAAGAATTTTTTAGTCTAAGGATTTCGTTATTTATTCTTCCGTTGATTCAGCGCGCCGTCATTGTTCCCCGAACAATTAACCTAAAAAGAATAAATCACACTGAAACGTGCTCTTCGAACAGTTCACAGGATACGGAGACCGTCACAATACCTTCAACGCTATTAAATCGACCGTATTCTAACAAAAGCACTAAATCATACAAATCAACTCGAAAAATTTAAATATAGTGGTTACACAATTATCATCCGTTCCGTTTGTCAACGTCTCTTTTAATGGATTTTTTTTATTACTGTTTACGTCTTTGCGGAATTAATAAATTCGTCTGATTTATCCATCGTTTTTGTTCTTTTATTTGTACACTTTGTCATTGTTTGGGATTATTAATGGTTTCTCCTGTAAGTTTCGAAATCTGTGCATCGGTGTTTTACGCGAGAGTGACGCTCGACGTGAATGCCTCTGATCGAAATCTGAATGGTGCGCAGACTGGGGAATTCCATATGCGTTACGTATCGCGAATTGAAGCGTTTTCTAACCGGATGATAGTAGAGTGAGAACGGTCAAGGCTTCCCCGAGGAACTGGTCGAAGCGGTTTTCGTGATCTTAAACCTCGACAATAAACACATCTTTCTTTTTCTCGAGAGATTAGAAAACATTCGCGTTCCTCGGGTGACGGTGTGTAAAACGACAGGCGAACGGTTTAGCGTGACGGAAATACGGAGATGTTTTTACCACATCTGTACTTACAATTTTTTAGAGCGTATTGCAACGTATATTTTTCTTTGTTTTATGTAATTTCAGGATGTTTAGAGTAAGAAACAATCGAACAATCTGTATGCGAACATAGTTGAAGATTAAAGGAACAATGTGTAGTTGTAAAAATCAATAAATTAATCATGGTAAAGTAATTTTCTGTATTTTGAATATCCCATCGATTTGAGAAGGAAATACTATTGCCACCTAGCGGTAGGCCTGCTTCACTAGCTCCAAGATGTCTGCGAAAGAAAGATACACTTTGAAAGTGTCAAATGAATTTTGCTGATGATTTGGGAACACTATGCATGAATCTAGTTTGTTTTGAAATATTGAATAAGACAATTTTTAAGTAATTATTATTTAACGATAGAATTCATGTGATGGATTATCCCTTTCGATAATGAACGCAAATATCGCAGTCAATAAAAAATTCGCTGATTGAAAGAAACGAATTTAGTATGGAATTTATAAGAAGAATGAAATTAGACAAGGAAAGTAATAGGAATAGACAAAGGGAGAAACAATTAGTGAGCCAAACAAGGTAAGGAATACGAGAAAACAAGAAAAGCTACAGTAATGCGTGTTAGACAAGGAAAGGAACAGGGATAGACAAACATAGCAAACGTACCGTGTGTTAGACAAGGAAAAAAATAGGAGTAAACAAGGATAGTAATATCACCGTGTGTTAGACAAGGAAAACAATAGGGATAGACAAGGACAGAAAAAAGTGTAGGACGAGACTAACGCCATCTCGCGTTAGGAGACACGAACTACGACTTTTCAATAGGATAACAGCAGAATATAAACAGAGGTATTAGACAAAGAAAGAAAGAAACAGTGTGCGACAAGGACAGCGAGAGAACGTTTCCTATTGGCTGGCGGGCACCCAAGCTCGACCAATCACGGACTAAACCGAGTCCGTCGGGGAAAAATCATTAATAAATCATTAATTAAGATGATTATGTGAACTTTTAGAATTGAAGAATGTAGAGGGAACCTTCAGAAACTTTCACATATACTTTTTAGTTCTCTAGACCCTCTCAATAATTAGTTATTAATATTTTAGTACATGATGTCAGGAACGATTCTGCGTACCGTCATGTATCTTCCTGGTTTTTCAAGTTCTCTAGACCCTCTCAATAATTAGTTATTAATATTTTAGTACATGATGTCGGGAACGATACTGCGTACCGTCATGTATCTTCCTGGTTTTTCGATAATTTCATAGCTTTCTACTAAATTCCCATGCAACTAACTATATTCATCTGAAAGGCAACTCCTTTAGCTACATTCTTTTATAATTTTTATTAACATATTCCGTTTAGTTTAGGAGTTATTAAATATTCTTCAGGTAAGTATTACAGCCGTCGCTTTCAAGAGTAACACATTTTCGTTATTTCAATACAAATGCGTGATAAATTATGTACATTAAGACATGAAGAATGTAGAATGAACCTTTGTCTATATTCTACAATTAGTTTGGTAGCTCTAAGTCGTGCGGTTTAACTGATATTAGCAATTGTTTAGAACAGTTCACTATACGCGAATACGATGAACAGGAGACGCTCTCATATAATGTTTAATAATTTTTAAACTAAACGGAATATGTTAATAAAAATTACAAAAGAATGTAGCTAAAGGACCTGCCTTTCAAACGCATGTAGTTATTTGCATGGGAATTTAGTAGAAAGCTATGAAATTGTTGAAAAACCGGAAAGATATTTGACGGTATGCGGTATCGTTCCCAACATCACGTACTAAAATTATTAATAACTAATTATCGAAAGCGTCTAGAGAACTAAAAAGTATATGTGAAAGTTTCTGAAGGTTCCCTCTACATTCTTCAATTCTAAAAGTTCACATAATCATCTTAATTAATGATTTATTAATGATTTTTCCCCGACGGACTCGGTTTAGTCCGTGATTGGTCGAGCTTGGGTGCCCGCCAGCCAATAGGAAACGTTCTCTCGCTGTCCTTGTCGCACACTGTTTCTTTCTTTCTTTGTCTAATACCTCTGTTTATATTCTGTAATGCTATTGAAAAGTCGTAGTTCGTGTTTCCTAACGCGAGATGGCGTTAGTCTCGCCTGCCATTTTTTTTCTATCCTTGTCTACCCCTATTCCTTTCCTTGTCTAACACACGGTGCTATTGCTATCTTTGTCCATCCCTATACCTTTCCTTGTCTAACTTATTGTCAGAATATGATATAAATAAAACAGTTAGAGTGAACATATTATTTGTGTTGTTTTTTCTCAACTGTTGCAAAAGTGTTCACTCGAAAAATTACTTGTATAGGAGATATCCTGAGAATGTTAATCATTCTTTTACGCTTTTTCATCATGTAAATTATGAAATAACGAATTTTGACAAAGTGTTAAATTATAAAAATACAAAATATTCCTATTTAGGTCAAAATTTGACTACTTTCTAGAGTATCAATTTTTTGCGTAAATTTTCTGCGTGTTCATTAATTGTAAGCACAGACAATATACAAAATTCTATACAAGCAGTTTTTTAAAATTTCCCTCTCTAACGACATTATAATACCATCTAGTGGAAAACTTGTAGTAATTTTTAGATTTCGTGAATGCGTAATTCGTTCCTTACGAATTGCGTGTTTAAATAAGTGTGGTTATGTGTATACAGAGAAACACGTCGTTATAAGAATTGTTTTTCAACAGAAACAACAAACAAGAGAGAAGTGTGGAAAGAATTTAACAAATTACTGTTCGTAATTAGTTTTCTTTTTCCCAAAAAATGGATGACGAAGCAGAAACATACAAATTATGGCGAATAAGAAAAACAGTAATGCAATTGTGTCACGACCGAGGTTATTTGGTTACACAAGATGAATTGGATCAAACGTTGGAGCAATTTAAAGAACAATTCGGTGATAAACCAAGTGAAAAAAGACCGGCACGCAGTGATCTTATTGTTTTAGTAGCGCATAATGACGATCCAACAGATCAACTCTTTGTATTCTTCCCAGATGAACCAAAAATTGGCATCAAAACCATTAAAACCTATTGCCAGCGTATGCAAGAGGAAAAAATTCATAGGTAATTTGTTTTATTGAATAAATATTTGTTTTTGAATGGTGTGGGGCAGATTTTAAGTTTTTATTTTACTTCACCATAGGGCTATCATTGTTGTACAACAAGGAATGACACCATCAGCTAAACAATCATTGGTAGACATGGCACCAAAGTATATATTAGAACAATTTTTAGAATCTGAATTACTTATTAACATCACAGAACACGAATTAGTGCCTGAACACATTGTGCTTACACCAGATGAAAAAGAGGAATTACTTACCAGGTACAAATTAAAAGAAAATCAATTAATGCGTATACAAGTTGGTGATCCTGTAGCTCGTTATTTTGGATTAAAACGTGGACAAGTTGTAAAAATTATTAGGCCATCTGAAACAGCTGGGAGATACATTTCTTACAGACTTGTATGTTAAATAAGGAATTCCATATAAATGGTTATATTGTACATTATCCTAAGCATAAACTAGAATATATGATTTTTATAAGGATTATATAAGACAATGAGAAAATAAAAAATTTATTAAAACAGGCTTCAATTATTCAAAAGAAAATAGAGTCGTTTTTTGTATAGTTCTTTATTATACCATAGTTGTATTTCATAATTACATAATCAATAGTTAGGTTTTTAACTATACATCTGGCAGTTAATAATTATTTGCATTGCCTTTCCTTGCAATAGCACTCTTTCATTGTGATAAGTGAATTTTAATTGGTTTATTACTTATGAAAAAGGACTAAGGATGTAATTTTATACAGCATTATCAACAACTATAAATAAACTGAGGATCAGCAAAATGAACTTTGTTCAAACATATATTTTATTACATCTTATTATTATACATTTCTTGGTCCAGATGTATCATGGTATATTGTTGTCACAAGACACCTCAATTCCAAATTCATTTAAGTAATTGTACATATATAGTTTCAGAACATTATTTATAATAACTATATATGTACATTACTTTATTTGTTACTGTCTTAGAGACTTTATTTCAACATTTAATACAAACTATTTAAAAAACGAATATAAGCAACACATATGTAAATACCAATTGCAACAAAAAGCTACAACAATGAGGAGAGTAAACAGTGCACAAAAGGTTTTCATTACATTTTCCTTTTAAGTACAGAAGGCAAGTCAATCTATATGCTATGTATTTTTTTATAATCTAACCTACTGATTTTCAAAAATTTTTTACGAAGTTTAACCATACTATATTAGTATTTTTAATAACATTAACCATAAAGCTAGGATAAAATAGATAAACTTGCTCTCAAAACGTGTTCTAAAAATTTCAAATTTAAATAAATAATGGCTATTTTTTTTTAATTTAAACTTTGTTAGAAGCAAACACTAATCTATTTTATTAAAAATTTTCAATCTTATCAATACATACTTACTTTATCAGGAACTATGTAAAATATAATAAATAATTTTCAGTGTTACTAATAGTAAAGAAACTAGTTACATAGTTTTGATTTAATAATGAAACTATTCCTCACAAGAGTCATTATTGTATTATTACAATCTTTGTACTTAAAAAAAAAAACCCTGATAATACTTGCTTTCCTTTTTTTTTGTCTATTTTAAATACAATGCATGCATAAGCATATAAGATTACTTGTCTACATTGTATTTTCAAAGCAGTTACATGAGCTAAAATATTATCACTTTTGATACAAGTAAAGTTACAGTTGTAACAAAATAATTATGGTTGATGGGCATAAGTAAATAATGCATGCAAGTATAATTAATATAATATATTGTTATCAATAAAATGTAAACATAACGAATAATAATAATAATTACACAATAAGACTACATACTTTTATTGTTTACACGGAAATAAGAAAGCAAGATTGCCGAAATAATCAGATAAAAAGAAGTATTTAAAAAATATACACAAAATTCCGCTGTTTTAAAAGTAATATGTTTTAAGACAAAAACGTTATACATACCATTCGTTCAAAAGTCAAGTCTATTTCGCACGGCCGATTTTCTCTTTTATCGTATATATGTGTACATATATCGCTTTTTGGCATGTTATAGAAATGCATTATGGAACATAAATTGTCATTACGAAGACAATAAGTAAATATCGTGAAATCAAATTAATTGCTTATGTAAACTTTATACATTTATTCTAATTTTTTACGTCCCTTTCATTTACTAATATTTCTTAAATTACAAAGAATAAATCAGTCGTTGTGTTTGAGTCTCGACATGAATATGTATGTACCACGTTTGTGTAAAAAAACTTGTATTCCCATTCACTTTTTCCATCATAAAATCTCTAGAAAAAAGAATAGAATATTCCAAAAGAACTATGTTTCATAGCATAGTCGGCAATGGTAAAAATAAAGTTTTTCCAACCATTTGCATTGCGATTGGAAAAAATCAAAACGCGAAACAGCTTGCAGAAGCTGTTATTATTCCTTTGCTAATACTCGAGAAAGATTTATCTCAGAAGATGTCAGAATCATTATTCCACATACAATCTGAATAGTACAAGTCTATATATGATACACAGCAAGTATATCTGATGTAATGATATCAGACGTATCTTAATCGCTGGAAGAATATACTCTTCCCCAAATATTTGTAAAAATATTCACAACGTAGAGGCAGAATGGTGTGCATTTTATGCCAAAAGGCGACGTGTTTTAATGCTATATCTATATAAGTTCTTGTATCTTGCATATGGATAGCTTACTAGGCTCTTTATCACCAAGGTCCCCGTTCTTCGAACAACAAATTCGTATTGAAAAATACAATGTTTATGCCAGCCCGCTTATAAACCTGTCTTTCGACATAATACGCATTTTTGTTTTTATACGACCAATACTTCTCATTACTGATGTGTACGCTTAATGTTACATTTTCATACATATACTCCATCAATGGACTACCAAGATCTAGGAAACACCGTTTAAAGTTCCATTTGTCACGTGTAAATACTGTAAATTTACTTTCAGATCTATATTCTATCTGAATATTCGCGAAAATGAAATATGATATAATTAATTATGATGCCTACTGTACACATACAACGTCTAATAAGAACGTTGAATAATGTTATTATTAGTCTCAATGAAAAATTTCTCTTGCAAATTCAATAATAAAACAAACATGCTACCCTGTTATATGCTATATATCAAGGAACTCTACATTTGCTTATGTAAATTACTAAACATGGAGAATGTTTTTTCAATGAGACCAATGAAAAATATCAATGATAATATTGAATCCCGTTAAGCAACTCTACGTCTAGACCACCAATACATCCTGGTAGCCCATTCAATAGGTGGAGTTTGTAAAATGTTGTTGATTAGTTCTGCAGTAAGTCTGATCCTGTATGTGATAGTGGTGGGATAATGTGGCCGATGCCTTTGGCCTCTGTGTGCACAACATGAGGCCTGGAATAAATTATTATTTTATTCCAATCTATTGAAAGAAAAAAAAATTATTGAAAATACATTTGACATTTACCTAGGAGTGATATGGAGTGACATATGTAGATGGAAATAGGCCTCGTCTATTACCAATCTCTCCATGCCACCAATGCTGATCTGTGCGGTCAGTAACAGTAATTACATCACCTCTTTTGAATTCAAGTTCACCAGGTTCTTGAGGTTGGAAGTCATATAATGCTTGCACTAAACACTGAAATAAAGTGCAATTATATGTTATTAAATCAACAGTTCTGTATTACCTATACTTTGAACAATTGTTATATAAGAGATAATTACTTCTTCTGGAACCATGTCCCTTAGTTTAACATCTTGTGAGCGGGAAACAGATGCTGTACGATGATACTCTACTAATTCATTAAGACTGTTAAATTTAACTACCCAGAGGAAGAATTTACCCTGGGCATCTCTTAATACTTTAAAGTGCTGAACACCATCTGAACATCTATAATAAAAACATCATTAGAAACTTATTCAAATAGTTCATTTACATGTAAACAGATTTCATTTAAGAACTTTTTACTAACTTGACAGACAAAGAGAAATCACCAGGAGAACTTTCACTGATTCTAATAAGAAAGGCGCCTTCATGTTTGTTCATTAATAGTCTTTCTGCATCTGCTCTGGTTATCCTTCCATAATACCAGCTGAATAGAAGAAACAATGTATAAAGTACATATAAGTATATTTATACAAACAATGCATGATGTTTAACAAAAAAATTTGGAAAAACACCCACTCATGATTTTTCATTTCTATGTAATTACTTGGAATAAGTCCTTCTCTGTTATCTAATTCAGCTCTGTACCAATTCATATCATCCTCCATATTTATAATCTGCAAAAAGAATATTGCAGCTATGTATGATTTATTATAGTTATCATGTATATGAAGTACATTTCTTTCCAGAAAAACTTTAAATTTGACTAACAAGCTACTATCTTTGCCTCATATGCAAATAAACAAATATGAGTTTAAAAATTGAGTATTTGCAAGTTTACTAATAAATAAAACCATCCTTTTTTCATAAATCGTTTTCTTTTTACATTTATTTTTTATAACAACTAAACAACAATAGTTCTCAATTATAAATTTGAGATTGTAAATACATTTCTGTCGAATAAGAATTCAGTTTTTAACACGAATCATTAGATACAAGGAAAACGGAAGATTATTATTGTTATAACAGCGTCAAATTTTAATTTTTCTGTCTCGTATTTTGAAAGAAACATGTAGAAAAAAATAATCTTAAGTGTTGCGTACTAAGTTATTGTTATTAATAAGAAAGCTAAAGTAGTTCTAGAGTTAACAAGAAAAACAACAAAGCAACAGCAATCGTCAACTTATAGAACGCTGCGCATTGTCGCAAATATCCTTAAGCGACATGCGATATCCGCTCGCACGAAAGCAGTTCGGAAAGTTCGGGATCGGTAAGCTCTTCGATGAGAATCAACGATACGCAACCGCCTACTGACACTTTCATCATTTAAAAATAATCATCACATCATCGTAGATAAGATACGAACCTTCAGGACTTGGCTTCTACGAAAACTAAGCTCATCTTCAGCCGTCGCTGTAAAATCGTGCTTTGCTGTCGCCTCCATTCTTCTTCCTCGTCCCTCGGGTGCAAGAAGGAAAGAGAGGGAAAAAGAGAGGCAGTACTGTATCTAGTCCTCAAAGGCAGCACTAAAAATCAGCCGCCTTTGTTTGCTAGTGGACAAAATTCAAACGGATATCAGCCTTTGAATTTTTCTTGTACGAAGGAGCTCTTTCGTTAGCAATTTTATATTCTTCCGACGAAAGACACGCAGTGCTCACGATACAACGCGCACACACACCGACCACTTGTGCTTTTTTTCTGTTCGTGCGATTTTCTGAATCAGTCGTTCGTCAGGCACCGTTGATTAATGGCACGTTGAAGCGTACATATTAAGCGTAATTATAACGGTTCTCATCTATACTCGTGTGTCCTTTCAGTCACTTTTTCGTGGAACTGTCAAAACTGAAAATACGATCATGCACTCTCACGGATGTCCATCGCTCGTCTTATCAGACATTACACTCTCGACTCTCCCACTGATCCGCTCACTGTGTTTCGGTCCAACAATGCGCACTGGCCACTGCGCACCCTGACGTCTGAATTCTCCTGTCGAAAGAAAAATACAAATATGTCCTGCCGTATCGGACACCGATCGAATAGTTACGAGTCTGAGATTCGAGTTAAACGACCTGTCCACGCTCGTCGCGAGATTTTGTATGCCACGGAAAGACGAATACGATTCTGCGAAACGAAATGTCCAGCGTACTACTTTTCTGTGGCGCAGGCGCGCGCATGCGTACTTTGAGAATGCTGCGTCGACTGCTCCACCACCATTTTATACTTTATGAGATCGTCTGAATATACATACCCATGTTGTGACTTTGCAAAGGTGTTTGCATTTATGTATCATTTTTAATCTTTGAACGATATGTTTTCGTTTCACCATTTTTACGATTGAAAATAAGATAGACATTGTTTGCACATTTTGAATTCTCATATAATGATTCGAATGAACATAGGCGATTAAAATTTGGAGAAAAGTATGTAATTCGACAAATTGAACTGACATGTATTCAAAGAAACGCATAAACTTTCGAAGATGATTCCTACGTCTAATAATATTCGTGGATTTCTGAGGAGCGATATGAATTTTTCCACGAACACTACCGATGACACAAAATTGAAGAAGAGAGATAATAAGGTACTGCGCATTTTCCATTTTCCGTCATTTCCTGCTCTGTCGAATAAATTGCGATTGAGTAATGGGCATCGAGCACGTAATAATTGCTGAATGAAACCCGCGTTTTTCGTACAATTATTGCACCGATTGTATCGTGTTTAATATTACAAAAGCGGTTTCAAAAATAGAAAGAAGAAATGTGAATCGATATTACGTTGTCAAAATAGACAAGAAATGTGATTGCAACAAAATTTAGCCGTAAAATAAAAAGATAGCGTTAGAAATAGAGCATTGGTCGTGCAATGAATAAAAATTTCGTGCCAAGATCGTTATTATCGGACAATCACACGAATTGTAAACAATCGCACAGTGAAAGCAGGCTAGATCAGTCAGTGATCGGTATTCAAAAATTTCTTTATTGCTATTACAGATAAAATGAGAAACAACGTAGACGTTTAATTGCGCTATATCGAGTCATTGCATATTTTTACGGAAAATTAGTGGACCGAAAATTAGTTTTCGGCTTAAAGAGTGTGTGCCAAGTTGTGTTTTCACTTTACATACAATTATGCGTTTCAAGTAACGGATCAATGCGTTAAAACGATTGTTACTTTTATCAGAGTGCGCGTTTGTTTTGAAAGCATGAAAAAAGCGTGACCACGAAGATACTCGATCGAGTTTGATTGTTTATTGGAGTAGAAGTGATTAACACGAGCAAAGAATTTGTTTAAATTAAGCCCGCTGATCAATAATTCTTTGCCTATAAATAGATGTCATTAAATGCTTTAATAAAGCTCGCGTTATTAACGCTGTCGGAGAAGTGTTACGAAAGTCTCTGACGCAGAGCGTGTTTTCATTGACTTTATTTCTTTTTCAATAATAAACTTTAAATAGACTGAGACAGGTACAAAAAAAAAAGAAAAAATGAGATAAAGAAGGAAGTTGAATCCTTTCATTAAAAATAATTACAGAAGTTTCATAATCATTTTCATTGAGCATCCATCGTAATAAAGAAATTGCAAATTCGTCATAAAAATTGAACGATTATACCTGAAATTCCTATTCGTAAATGAAAAGTGGCCAAATACATGGGCTTTCGTTCTTGAAACGAACCCGGTTACCGGTAACCGGGTCAAAAATTTCTGTAAATCCTTGTCATCAGTCTAACAACATTTGGTCACGCGAACAACATCGGCTCGCGACCGTACCGAACTCTTACGTAAGTTTTCGTCATGCGAATATATTGTTTATTTGGGTTATTGCTTAGTTGTTTGTGGGGGGGCCCGATGTTTTCAGGAAAGCAGCAACATCATGCGCAGGCGATATACCACGGTTGTGCGCGTTAGCGCGGAAATTGAATTACCTTTGTGCGACTGTAGCGATGAAAGCGAGGCCGGATTGTACCATCTTGCAAACAGTCTTCCAATTAAACGTATCTACTAAACGCAATTTACACGTCAAAGAGCTTCGACGGTGACTCTTCCGTTAGTTTTGTTTTCGAAGATCACGTCCAATCGATGGCATATATTCTCACGTTGAAAATTTCGTTCGATGAGAATGCCATTTTGAAAAGCACATGCGACGACGTAACGATTCGAGATGTACGGTTTATCGATAGTATCGCTTGGTTCGACGAAGCAGAATGTAACGTGAAAAGTTAAATCTTGGAACAAAATGGCGGACATTTAAATTTAGCGTAATACGTTTTCGCGCCTTTTTCCCTACTTTGTTGTTTCGACAAAACCATTATTTCGAAAATTTTTACAAATTGTAGATATAAAAAGCGAACCTCCTACTGCCTTTTTTGCTGTTTTAAACCAAAAGAAACTTCCATTTGCTGTTTGAAAAAGAGCAATTTTACTTTCAATGCCGAATTCATTAATCAGCTTTCGTTTCAAAGGACGATTTTAATGGAGCAAGCTAATAGAGCGACGAGATGAAGATTTGACGCGTCCCATTATGCCGTTCTTCGGAACATTTTTGCAATTTAAAGCGGGGCTCGCGTCAGATACGCGGAAAAATCGCGGGCACAAAGGAAAACTTTGCTACCTTGCACCGGTGATGAAAAAGGCCTGTACAGGATTACGTTTATTCAGTCGAATCTTGGACGAAACGAGCTGTGTAGCACCGTGATCAGAATTTTTATGGAAAGGTAGTGGCGAATTCATGAATACGCGCGCGTTCGCTTCCTGTTCAAGATTTACGGGCATCACAAATGCACGCTTCCGCCCACATTCAATGAAAGTTTCCAAGACATTCGCACGCCATTTAATCAAGTTAACCCTAGCCTTCATTCCCAATAACGAGCGTGATTTTACGTTGCTTGTTTCTTTATACAGGGTGTCCTCACATGTTTCCGTGGGAAAAACAAGACAAAAATGTTTTATAAACAAAAATTAGCAATTTTATCGGTTTATAATTCCCTGTACAGAGTCGATTTCACGAATAATTCGACGGAACGATGACATTTCCTTTCGAACGAGCGAAACGAAAAAAAGTGCACTCGTAGGATATATAAAATTTGCATAGATCGACACTTGTAGGATATCAAGGACGGAACATGCAATGTTCAGCACCGGAAAGGTTTCGAGTGTGAAAAATATAAATTGCACGCGTTAAAATCCGGTTAATCGAATTTAAATGAAATTCAGCCTTTATTAAGGTTTCCCGCGACTTCACGCGTGCCTTTAACGCCTCCATTTTCATTATCATAACCGTTACATTATTACAGTCTTACGAAGAGACTGACACTGTTACACGAGTGAGACGGTTATTAACAAGGAACAATTAAATTAACTATGCGCAGAATGTTGTCATTGAATACTAATGGCCCCATTATCGCATAGTTACCCGACACTAGGACCCTAATTGTTTTCGCTATTAAATAATCGACGCACGTGTGTGCAGAAGCTCCGCAGATGAATCATCCGAAAGACAAATTTTTTTTTATAAATTAAATTCGTTCTTTCTTTTCTTGCATATCTTTCAGTAACGTTCTGTCCAACAGTCACGGATTAATTAATTTTCAGAATTTTCGAATAAAGTCTCCTTAAAACAAGAGGACACGGTAGTTTCTAAAATTACCGGATTAACCTTGAACCTAAGAACCGTACCTCGCCTTCCCCGTTGATCCTCGAGGATGCAAGCCGCAAACAAGAGAAAGAAAGGAATTAAGGAGAAGAAAAGGGATGTTCGAAAAACAAGATTAAAGACAAGCACGAATGGAGAGGAGGAAGAAGAAGTAGGTAGGTAGGTAGGTAGGTAGGTAGGTAGGTTGGAGGAGGAGGAGGAGAAGAAGAAGAAAAGGGTAAGAAAGAAGAAACGTAAGAAGAGAATAAGAAGGGAAAAGATCTGCGGGTGTCTGAGAAGACGACCCTCGGTGAGAAAATGCAATTTCGGTTCTTGTCTGGAGACGACGTCGTCGGCTACCGTGCCTCATCTCCGTTGCCATGTAACCCCCTTCAACATTGTTGAAAACACGGCCTCTCGTGTGCACAGAAGTTCTTCTCTCTGGCATGTTCCAGGAGATGAAAGGCTCCCGTGGCTATCAAAGGGAAAGGGAAGAGAGGTAAAGGCCCCACCCGACAATGGCCCTGAGCCCCAAGGTTTTCAGCCTCGACGTTCAGGCCATCGGAGGCCCAGTCGCGTGATTTCAACCGGCCCATCCAGAGGATTCCAATTTTTTCCACCCGATTAGAGAACACCGACACGATGCAACGATCGATTACAATTGCACGGGGAATCGCGAGCAATTTCTTTTCTCTGTTCGTTCTTGGGAAAATTTGGAAAAAAAAATTGGAAAAATTCACGGGCGTCGAAAGATGTCTACTCTATAACCGCTGCGAGAAGGAAATAGAGAGGGAGGGGGAAGAACGTTGATAAATTATTCACAGAGAAACCGATTCCCCTTTTAAACGATTACGAAACGAAGAAAGAAGGCGGTTGCTAAATTTATATCGGTTGATTTTGCACCGTCGTCGAGATTCGCCCAGCGAGGTGAACGAGCTCCGACCACCGCCGTTTCTCTGGCGAAGGAGAGGCTTCCTCG